TTCTTGACTCAAGGAAACGATGCAAGCAAAAATGTGATTGTCTTACATGACCATTGCACCCGGAAATGTTTTCTTTCGAGATGGCCGGCTAAGGGGTAAATTGAAGAGCAAAATTCAAAGCACTGTACATTGCACAGTGCAATGCTCAGTACACAGTACAGTGGACGGTGCATTGCAAAGCACGGTGTTTATTTCTAAGATCGAATCTCGCGAAAGTTATTATAAATTATTCAGTCAACAGAAAAAAGAATAGATGAGTTGAAACACTCTTACAAATAAAATAAAATCCGGTTTGGTTGGGAACCCCGGTTATCAAGATTAAACCTAAAATTTGTTTTTGCCTACAACGGAAATTTTTGCTGGCAGAAAGCTCGTCAAGCATCAAGACTCAGGGACGAGAAATTTGTTAGCATAGTACTAAACCTTTTTTGTAACATTTTTTTCGCACCGCATGGGTGTAAATGTCAGTTGAGAAACTAGTGAACTGCTGGCTTGCCTGACTACTGCCTTGCCTGACGTCTGCTGCCCTGCCTGACGTCTGCTGCCTTGCCTGACGTCTGCTGCCTTGTCTGATGTCTTCTGCCTTGCCTGGTGTATGCTGCCTTGCCTTGTTGTGATCGGCATACTGTATAATAATTGTTTGTTTAGTTGAATCTTTATTTATCTCTGTTATTCTGCAATTCTGAAATTTTCTAAGCCCATCTTTAATTTTATTTATTCTTAACGTATTTTTCTCAATTATTTTCTCAACTGAAAAAATGGTTCTTTGGAGAACGACGCGTCCGTAGTTAGGGAGAATTTTCGATACGAGTTAGTAAGTTAGTGGAAGCCGTTGGTAGAAGTCGCATGTACACAGTGTAAAGTCTATGAATTTAACGGCGAAAATTACTGTCTTGTTTTTATCCTCCGCAACAAAGTGTACTACCGAACTAGACGATCACACAAGGCTTTTATGAAGTGGTAGCCACGTATATAGACTGCGGCGACGTGTGCGCCACGACGTAAAATGGTGCCGTGACCATTGCAACGATATAAATTGGTACCGTGACCATTGCCTGAAGTGAGTCATGACAGTGCTAGTAGACCTTCAGTAAGCAATTACAGAAAGGCAAAAATTAAACCAGTGGTGATTATTATTTCGTGATTATTTATTAGTGTTTTGTGTCTCCATTCTCATAGTCTTCCAGCGTATATTTTAACTTCAATTCGTTAAAGTTCATCATCATGGCCGAGTCCCTTGACTTACGTCAGACAGCATCTGCGGAAGAAGAAGAGGATTGTATATTAGAGAACTTGAGGCATATTGATAAATTTACGACGGCTGTAAAAGCAAGAACAGGCAGTATGTCAACGAAAACTAGAGACGAGCTCCTATTTGGCGGCCAAGACAATCATTTCATAGTGGGAACTGACGGAAATTATAAAGTGTGTCTGGACGAGGGCGTCGCGCCCACTCCAGGCTCCTGCACCGTCCTGTCCTTCGGCATCAACAACGAGTGGAGCTTTGACGACGCCATGGAGGAGTACGGCTGTGATGTAAGTTTCGTGATAATTTATTTGAGAAAACAAAGGGGGAAATAGAACTGCTGGTGAGGCTTCAACGTGCCTATGAGTTTCAACGTCCCTGTACTTACATCTAAATTTTGAGGTTTTTCATGATGGCCAATGAGTTGTACGTTTCATTTTGGCTGTAAAGCTTCAATATGAATACTCTAAGTGCAGTCAGAAGAAGCTTTAACTATGTCAAAGAGCTTCAACATTATATATAAAGAAAAAATAATCATTAGCGATTGCAATTAAATCAGAATTTTTCAACACATCAACTCTTATTCTTTTTTAGCTGTAGTTTACGCTACTAAGGCTATCTCGTTTAGGTTTATCCACAATATATTCAATCAAATCTATTTAAAATGGCATCAACGTACGGTTTTCGGTGGTTTCCAGAAAATAAATGAATCATTTGCACATTAATCACTGCATGCATGGAATTGAAGTACTTATAACATTACAAAACAACTACTGTTCCAATTTAAAATTGTCCATACGGTTTGTGTGGCTGAAGTCAAGCTGTGTAGGTTTGCATGAACTTAACTTAGATTGTTTCCTCCTGCCTTAGGTGTACTCCTTCGACCCCACCATGAGCGACCCCGAGCACATCCGAGGCAAGAGGGTTCACTTCTACCCTCTGGGCCTCGGCGGTGTCACCCAAGAAGTCGATATTCTCCTCTCCAAGTCAATATTCTCTGCTAAATGTCAGGCGAGTTACCACCGACGTATAATACAAATGATATTATAGAGGTTTATGCGTAGAGGTGTACCAAAATATCATATACTTATTATTTTTCATATACAGGATATTACAACAAATTGAGCAATGTGAAGTGTGGTATTGCCGGAATTTATGTTCGTAATGGATCTTATAATGGACGTGTAATTTAGCAGCAACGTTTTCACAGCTCTAAAATGATGATCCTGAACCTTCCCATAAAATTATATTAGACTCTAAAATGACAAGAAAAGCCTACGAGCCTTAATAATTTTTTGTTGTAAGACTAAAAAAGATTCGTTAGCGATGGAGCAGGTTTTCTTACAGTACGTAAAAGTTCTGGTTACTTTGAGCCTTTTTAAAAATGTATGATATCTGATTAGTTATTTGAATAGTGTAACAAAAACTAAGCATTCACGTTCTTGCAATTTGTTGCAACAAGTAACAAGCTGAACTGTTGTCGCGTTCGTAAAAAAGTTGAAATCTTTTTACTAATCAATTAGCTTCACACTAACCACGACATCACGGCAATGATCGGTGAGACGACGAGCTCCTCAAACGTTCATTCAAATCCTAGCAACGATCGACAGGATGAGCTAGCTAATCGTCTGACCATTGATCGTGCAGGTCCTCACCTACCGCAACAAACTAGCAACGATCGCTAGGATGAGCTATCTAATCGTCTGTTCATTGATAGTGCAGGCCCTCACCTACCGCAACATCCTATAGCAATGATCGACAGGATGAGCTAGCTAATCGTCTGACCATTGATAGTGCAGGTCCTCTCTACCGCAACAAACTAGCAACGATCGCTAGGATGAGCTATCTAGTCGTTTGTTCCTTGATCGTGCAGGTCCTCTCCTATACCGCAACATCCCAGCAACGATCGATAGGATGAGCTATCCAATCATCTGTTCATTGATCGTGCAGGTCCTCTCCTTCTGCAACATCCTAGCAACGATCGATAGGATGAGCTATCCAATCGTCTGTTCATTGATAGTGCAGGCCCTCACCTACCGCAACATCCTATAGCAATGATCGCTAGGATGAGCTATCTAATCATCTGTTCATTGATCGTGCAGGTCCTCTCCTTCTGCAACATCCTAGCAACGATCGATAGGATGAGCTATCTAATAGTTTGTTCATTGATTGTGCAGGTGCTCACCTACCGCAACATCCTAGCAACGATCGATAGGTTGAGCTATCTAATAGTTTGTTCATTGATCGTGCAGGTGCTCACCTATCGTGACATCCTAGCAAAGATCGGCAAGACGAACTCAGTCATCGACTACTTGAAGGTCGACATCGAGGGCTTCGAGATTGACTTCCTAGAGAACGTGCTCTACGACGACCAGGAACTACTCTTCAGAGTCAAGCAGATCGGCATGGAACTACATCCATGTGAGTTTTATTTTCACAGCTTGCTTTGTATGAACCGAAATATCATAATTATTTATAATCGTAAGATTTCCATTGATTTTCCGCCAATAGTTGATTTGTTAGGCAAAACCAGTACTCTATTGACTGGTTGCCGGTTTTGTTAAGGTCGTCCTAATTGGATCAAGGATTAAGTTTCTCAGAATAAATTCAATCATACATAGATTTATCACGATAAAATTCAATTATTTATCTTTCAAAAAGCACGTATAAAGAGTGAGGATACTTTATTTTTATTTGTGTGCTAAAACAATGAGTTGTCTGAGGTTTTCCCTTCATGATTCTTTTTTTTTTCAGCGATTTTCGCAAGTGAAAATACGTCGGTGAGAAAGCAGAAGTACTGGCGGCTCGTCCACAAGCTGCGAAGTTTAGGTTTCACACCGATATTCGGTGAGCCCATTCCTGTATGGCTCCTCTCATACACGTACGATGGAAAAACAGAATCACTTTGTTGTTATGAAATGGTATGGATTAATAACCGCTTTGTGAAGAAATGAGTTTTTATTCAAAGTTTCTAACAACACAATTTATATGAGACATTTCGTATTATTGTTATGAGCATAAGGGTAAGAATCACGAATGCAAGTCATTAGGGATGATACTAATAGAAGCATGGTACACGCAACAAAATATATAACGGGTAATGCATAACAAGCTTGTTTAATTTCATTTTTTCATAATACGCAATTTGCCGCGATTAAATGAAAATGATGGTTTAGCGTATCTAATTCTTTATTGTTACCTATTCATGTAACAACCACCACTTCATAGCATGTGAACTCTCTTAAAATTACAGCAAATTTCACGATTACACTCGGGTTCTCTTATTGGCTGTGGGAGTTCAAATGAAAGCTTAACACGGCATAGATGTCAAGTACATAAATTGCCTTATATGGCTGCAAGCAAAGCGATGTAGGATTTTAATGCGCGAGCAAAAAAAAATCTAGTTGAAATGATGGTAATTCACTTTCGTAAAATCTCTCAGTCCTGATCAATTTAATAGAATGACTTTGTTGAATGCAAAATTGTCGTGTTTAGAACACACAGGAGTATTTTATTATTTTTTCAATGTCAAAAAGTTTCAGGATCAGTGTCAATTTAAGAAATTCTATACCTAATGGGAGGAAAATAATAAAATACGAGCTATTGAAAACAATGGAATGTGTCCTGATGTATCCACAACCTTATTATAGACCTCTGCATTGTATGCTGTGTTTCTATTCCTAATACAAGCTCTTAGCAAGAAATATTTTTTAGGTAACAGTAAGTAACAATAAAACTGTTGTAAGTAGCAGTATTTACCAACAAAAAATTTTTAAGTAGCTGTAAGTAATCAAAAACTTTTGTGAGTAGCAGTGAGTAACAATAACATTTTTGGAAGTTTTTTCTTTTTGGCAGTAACTAACCATAAAAATTTTTGTAAGAAGTATGTAACAATAAGAACTTTTTAAGTCGCAGTAAGTAAACATAAAAACTTCTGTAAGTAGCAGTGAGTAACAATAAGATATTTTGTACGTAGCAGTAAGTAACAATGAGAAATTTTGTAAGTAGCAGTGTAGCGGGCCAGATATTGGCCTCGTTTTGTGTACTAGGTTTCAAGATGCCGCTCTCCTCGAAAGAAAACTGCCTAGAAAAATGTACAAGCGGAACTGTCTGCGGATGTTGTCTAACTCTAGTAGGCAGCGACTTTACATATCATTACCATTATTGTGCCTATCTCTGTTGTATTAACTTTCTTCGTCATCTGGACCTCTCAAGTGTAATTGTATTTTGCGTTTCCAAATAATTACTGTAAATCTCTTGAGTAAACATTTACCTGAACTTCATCCTTAGTTCAGGCCAATGTTGACGTCCGCGTATATTAGTTGTTTCAATTGTCCACGAACCCTATGGACCCGCTGGCAGAGACCTAGAAAGCTTTAGATGAAGTAGTTTCCCGCTACAGCAGTAAGTAAACATAAAAACCTTTGTAATAAGCAGTGAGGAACAATAAGAACTTTTGTAAGTAGCAGAACAATACTCCAAAAGAGCATCATACTTTCTTCGGTGCTTCGTTGCTACGTTGTCAATCCTATCAGAGTTGTGGCAATTCCAGGATAACTATAGCCCTCAATTTCCTCATTCCCAATTCTATACGATACTCGATCGAATAAAAACATCAGACCATTATCGATAACTGACATTCTATCACCTTTGAAGTTATAATTACTACCATCTTTTTTCGTTAAAGTCCCTTCGATGCATAGGTAACTGTCTGATGGTAGTATAAACTGATCTTGATACCGAATAATAAACTTGCTTTCATTGCGTTCACGATTTAAATCAGTTCTAATTTGAGGCTCATAATCATGAGTTTCATCAACATTATGAATTGATTCATCAATTCATATCCTGGGGAACATTGTATGATACCCATTGTATGATATCCATATTCATTCAATTGTATATCCTGGGGGAACATTGGGAAGAAATGTGTACACGATATAGTTAAAATCACTATTGAGATACGATCCTTTGATTATACTGCCAATGAACAAGTATTGCATTAACAGAAATTATATTTACTATATTTGTACTATCATGTTCTACAACACTTTCCAACACTCCAGTATCAAAGCCTAACAGAGTATGTAGACTGTTGAGTTTGCTGAAATAAATTTTCAAGTCAAAATCACGATTAGTTATTACACATTTCAGAGTATTGGTGTTCGATCTTGTATCAATCGAGTACTCGTTTCCGTATGCATTTTTGATAATCTTATTCATACTCTCTATCTCATAGCATCCGGTCGGTATAGTTATAGGGATTACTATACCATGTTTCCCAACAGAAATATTATACAGAAATATATATTATATTATACATATTATATGAGACAAATAATATAATATTATAATATTATATTATTTGTCTCATCGATATTCGGGATGGAGTGACACATATCCAGTCCCACCAATGCCATTCATGAAATTTGTTTGTATCCAATTTTATTGGTGGCGTGAAATTCGTGTCGTATATCACTGTTTCCACAGGTAATAACTAATTTTTGTAATTCAATTTTCTTAAACAAAAATCATTCAATAGTTTAACATCACGCTCAATAAATAAATTTTGTTTATAAAGCCAAATAACAATTGATGTCCTGCAACAGTATCATTGACGTTAGTAGCTAAAACTATTATTCCTGATCCTGAAACATCTGAATCAATATCTGGTCTTGATTCCGGAGCTCGATCCCTAGACGATGTGGGACATGCAGCTTTTATTCTAGTAACTTCATAACATTAATTTTATTTCTGCATCACTTTATAGAGTGGTTGGATGAATTTGTTGTACTTCTCTCTTTTGTTTGCTTTTATTGTTCCATCCGGCTTGAGATGAGCCTTAGTCTGTCTCAAAATCGTTAGATAATTTGCCACATAATTTTCTTCATATTTTTCATGAGATTGTTTTATTAGTAGCTCCCATAACCCAACAGTTCCTTCAAAGACTTCATTACCAATCCCTAAATCATTACCTTGGATGCTGACAATTATTGTATCTCCTAGCATAATGTTTTTACCATCAAATTTAATGCCATAAGCTCTGTCATACTCAGATCCAGGTTTGAACGCTAGATTTTAAAAAGTTTCAGCTATTGAACTAGCTAGTCCTTTTCAGTCGGATTTTTTTGAGTCTGGTAGATTTAATGCCAATTTTTTAGCAGATTTGTTTGTTAATAGTTCTCTGGGAGCATCTTTCAGAGCTAACCATTTATGCTTAGTTTCTTCTACCATTTACTGAGAGGTTCAATTAGAGGCTTATATAATTTTTTAGCATCATTGTATAAGTCTTCTTCCGCAAATTTTTCTTGTGTGAATAGTTTTTTAAGTCGCTCTTTAATTTTATAAAATCTTGTTTTGTTTTATATCAATTCACGTCATTTTATTAAGTAAAATATCTCAAACAACTTGAACTCAATGTCTGTTAATTTTGAACTCAATGTGTGTTCATTTTGAACTTAATGTGTGTTTAACCTAATGTCAGTTCAACTTTGTTAGTTCAGCTTCTGGAATATCGAGATGGGTCATCATATCCCTTCCATTTAACTAACAATTTCCCTTAATTTTTTTCAAAATTTTATCAATTTCATAATATTTTGATAATTCTTCGTAAAAACTCCCTATTACTTCTTTACCGCTCATATCTTCCAGCCTATAAGTTACTGGTTTCGTCTCTAATATTTTAGAGATGATAAATAACTCACGTGTGAAACTAGTGAGATATCCTTTATAAAATGCTTACGTTTTCTACTAATTCAGACACTATCTCCAATCTTCAATTTAGTCTTTCTTACAGCCGTCTTTATTTCGGGGAATAAATTTGCATAGACTATTTTAATGTTTTGTTCCATTGAAGTTCCACATGGAGTCATTTTTATTGATCTATGATAACTACTGTTATAATTATCAACTAAATCTGGTAAAATATCTACCCACTTTTTTGTCTTGGGGTACGTGAAATATTTCCACAGTTTTGTCTTGAGAGTTCGGTTGAATCTCTCAACAACTTGAGCTTTAGTTTCATTTTCAGTTGCAAACCATTGAATTTCAAACTTTATGAATAACTATTGTGTTAGCTTGTTAATGAACTCTATACCTTTGTCTGTTTGAATTATTCAGGAAATTCGTTCAGCGAAAAGCTTTTGGAAAGAGGTTATAATCTCTTCACCAGTTTTTCTTCGAATAGAAACTGCCCATGCATGTTTGCTAAAGATGTCAATCACAGTTAGGATGTGGTTTTTACCTTTATCTGTATACTTTTGCATGTCAAGTAAATCTGACTGCCATTGATCATAGATCTTTGTTACTTTGACTTTTCTTGTGATGAAATTATATTTTATTGGTTGATGTACCTTGTAAAGTGTACGTTTCCTCTAACTCCAAATTAATTTCATCACAAGAAGAGTTAAAGTAACAAAGATCTATGATGGTAACAAAGATCTATGGCAGTCAGATTTAGTCGACATGCAAAAGTATACAGATAAAGGTATAAACAACATCCTAACTGTCGTGAACCTAAGACTTGCTTTCGAGATAAACCACTCCCACGAACAAGTTCATTTGTCCCCACATAGCTGGGTTTAGGATCGTAAAATATTTTATTTAGAATTTTACTACTCACTTCTGTGAATGGATTTCTACGTTTTTAGATACTTTAAGACCAACATAACATTTACCAGCAATTATAGCATTAACTAACTTTGCATCAGTTCTAACATATTCAGGCTCATTAGGATCTACCGCAATTTCAGCCGCTTTCTTCGCTAGGATATCATCGGACTTGTTTCTGTCTTTAGTTTTTGAATGTGTACTACAAAATATATCATGCTCTCTACAAGCTCTATCCAATGAATTAACTCCCTTATAACCTTCATTCAGTCTTTTTTGCACCTTAGTGCCAGGACCACAGATGGAGTATGTATGCTTATTATTGGAAAAACCGTGGAGAACTTGCTCAGATTGAATGTTGAAGGTTAATTGTAAATGAATTTCTGGAAGGGGCTATTTCTCTAATATCGTATTAAAAATGCAACTCCCAATTTTTTCACTACGAAGAAATGATTTCAGCTGGTTCAAATATTCACAATTATCGATCAATAGTAGATCAGGATAGTTGATTAATGTTCTTTTATTGTAGACTATCATTTTTAATAGATTATTTTATAAACACTTTTATCAGCTTGCATTACAGTGGTTTAATGCTAGCGTATTTATACCGTCTGCTAATATACGTTTTTTATCATCGTCAACATTCACTGCAAGTTTATTAATTTCTCTCGTATACAATTCATGATTATCATTCTCTATATTATACATTGTTTTGTATATAGTCTCATTATTTAGTGCTCTCATATATTCATCCTTGGTAGTATTCCTTTCAATAATATTTTTCTTTATACCATTAGCTTTTTTAGTTACAGAACATTTTGTTCGATAACTATAAAGCTTTGCTCGAAGACCTACAAATTCTTTTATGGGAATGCCGCTAGTTTCATCTTTCATTTTATCGATTACTTTTTTGTTCTGATTTGAATATATGAAATGATCCTATGGATAATTCGAAGTGTCAAATAAGTCATGATTATCCCTCATATCTTCATAGAAGTAAGCGGTTTTTATGTTAAAAACAAAAAGCAACAAAACAAAAACCCAAGGGGAAAAAACGGTTGGGAAACCCGCGTCAACCAAAACCTGACAAGAACAACGAAAAACCTACACCTAATTTACAATTTCGTATACGGTTGTTCAAAAATTACACAATTTCATTTCGGTATAGTTTTGTATGCATTGATATGCTAAATAGTGTTTGAAAATGTAGAGTTGCTTGTAACCACGTGTCCATCTTCTTGACTCAAGGAAACGATGCAAGCAAAAATGTGATTGTCTTACATGACCATTGCACCCGGAAATGTTTTCTTTCGAGATGGCCGGCTAAGGGGTAAATTGAAGAGCAAAATTCAAAGCACTGTACATTGCACAGTGCAAAGCTCAGTACACAGCACAGTGGACGGTGCATTGCAAAGCATGGTGTTTATTTCTAAGATAGAATCTCGCGAAAGTTATTATAAATTATTCAGTCAACAGAAAAAAGAATAGATGAGTTGAAACAATGTTACAAATAAAATAAAATCCGGTTTGGTTGGGAACCCCGGTTATCAAGATTAAACCTAAAATTTGTTTTTGCCTACAACGTAAATTTTTGCTGGCAGAAAGCTCGTCAAGCATCAAGACTCAGGGACGAGAAATTTGTTAGCATGGTACTAAACCTTTTTTGTAACATTTTTTTCGCACCGCATGGGTGCAAATGTCAGTTGAGAAACTAGCGAACTGCTGCTTGCCTGACTACTGTCTTGTCTGACGTCTGCTGCTCTGCCTGACGTCTGCTGCCTTGCCTGACGTCTGCTGCCTTGTCTGATGTCTGCTGCCTTGCCTGACGTCTGCTGCCTTGCCTGACGTCTGCTGCCTTGCCTGACGTCTGCTGTCCTGCCTGACGTCTGCTGCCTTGCCTGACGTCTGCTGCCTTGTCTGATGTATGCTGCCTTGCCTGGTGTCTGCTGCCTTGCCTGACGTCTGCTGCCTTGCCTGACGTCTGCTGCCTTGCCTGACGTCTGCTGCCTTGTC